ATCAGTGCAGCCGACATCCGGATCTGGATTGGAGCAAGTTTCTGGCAATGTTAAGTCGGAGATACCACCTGAGGCTGGAACTGGGGTTGGTCCACCGTCTTCTTCAAGTATACCGTCAGCCCCTATACCGCCACCTCCTCCCCCACCCCCTCCACCGCCTCCACCAGCAGCAGTTTCATCTGCTCCGGTAGTACCAAAGCAGGCAAGTGCATCATCTCGTGCAAATGATGATCGTAGCGATTTGATGGCAGCGATACGAAGAGCTGGTGGCATGAAGGGTGCGAAACTGAGATCAGTCAAGAAACGGGTTGGTGATTGACTTGGTTTGATGTGATTTATTGTTGTATTTGAGGTGATGAGTAGAGTGGTTTTGTGTGGAGAATAGATTTGGTTTTTGGTTAGTTAGATGAGTTTAGTTTCGGGTTTTGTAGATTCGTAAAGAAATTAAGAAGGAATTGATTGGTTGAGTTTATGATTTGGATGCGATGGAGTTCAGAATGGCAGATGGGTGTGAGGGAAACGTGAAGTGTATTTGCCAATGTTTTGAAACATTAATCTAGAGCAGTGAATTGGTTAATGATAAAGGAATGAAGTATATCTGATTGTTGGTTTAAAGGAAGAAGATCGAGCAGCAGATGATGTATCTGCACTTCCCTCCAGCAATACTACAGCTGTAGCTGGTGGCGGTGATCTAATGTCATCGTTGGCGAAAGCGTTGGAATTAAGGCGGAGAGGTGAGTGTTTTGTGCAGTTTGTTTTGAGAATTTTGAGCAGGAAAATTGGCCGCATGGAAAAGGTTTATATAGCATGACATGACTGTGGGTGGACATGTGTTATCTTAGAGAAGGAAGAGAGGTGGAAAGGGTATAATAACTGGCCGAAAGTGAGTACTAAGGATGATTCAGACTGTGGATATGTGGGTATTCATAGCATATTCAGTGTAATGAAAGTTTTGATGTGAGGTGAAGAGGGGTATCTTTATGTGCACGATTCAACAGCAATATTAATGCACAAAGGGATAAAGTCATTAAAGTAGTGCATATTACGAAAGATCTATTTCATCATACGGATGAATCAGTAAGGCAGTATGAGATGATCATGCAAGCGAAAAGGGATAAGATGATCATCAAATAGTACATACAAATATTCAACTTCATCGTGCATCTGTTATATCCCTGTATATCTATCCTATCTTATGCTTAAACACTTGAGGTGGTTGAATCATATATCACTTTTGTCCACAGCTCCCTTTGTTTTCCCTGATGGTGACTATGAACAAGGTTTCATAAGAATGTTTCGCAATGTATTTAACAGTCAAAATCATCAAAGGCTTATTGACGCAGATATTAGAATAAACAAACGATACAGAAGATAAGACGCAACTAAGGAGACAGTGCTCGTGAATAGGCCTTTGCCTGTTCACGATACTCAGTTAATTAGAATCTTTTCTATTTCATGCCAGTTCTGTTTATTTGCGGTTGTGTTNTCTTAGCCATTTGCTGAGAGTGAATATGACTGGCTCAATTTGATTATGACGTGTATATCTGGGATCTTTTGTTATTGTTCGCAGAGCTGAATGTGTTTTATTTGGTGGTATTGAAGCTGAGTTTATTGGTCAGGATTTGGAATTGTTAATTTATTTTTGGATTGTTATAGACTTTAGTGCATCATATTCAAATGATATGATTACAAGAATGTGAATGAAGGATTAATTTTTGAGGTATCTCGGGTAGAGCAACAGACACGAAAACGTCATCACATCAGTCGAGTGGGGCAAGGATTGATGGAGCTTTGGCTAGGATGAGTGCGCTCATACCACCGCCACCGAAGGAGGAGAGTCAAGCGGAGAGACGGAACAGTGAGAATGACGAGGAATGGGGGTGATTACCTCTTAAATTCACATGGATTTTGTAAGTTTCTCTTAATATAAATAATACATATCTCAAAATTTTGTAAGTTTCATTCGATTGTTTATTCATTATTCGTGTTTAAAGTGAATTGTCAGATTTTTTATGGTATACTTATAATTATAGTGGTGGTCTTTGATGGAGAATTTTATGTTGGATTAGTTTATGAAAGAGGCGATACGGCGTGAGCCTTTGACAGGTGTTAGTCTTTAGTGTTAACATGAGGGGAGGTGAATTCGTAGTCCTGTGGTGAACCTTAGAAGTAGGCATTGGGTTCGGCATAAGCTCTGGAGGTAGTCCGGTCCTCTTTCATAAATAGTTCAGCTGGAAAATTAGTTATTTAGTGAATAATCTGAGTCATTGTCTATGTATTTTTAATTTTTTTGTCATTTTCAAATGGTTAATGTGTTCATGTTTGCATGATTGTTGTTCGTTGATGTGATATGTGAAGGATATTAATTGTTGTGGTCATTACGATGAATTATTTTGCTCAAATGGAATTTGTTTTTGTGTTAAATAGTTTGCTAATTTTGATATTAATTTTATGAATTTCAATTTTATGAATTCTTCAATATGAGTTATTATTCATTTGCCAATTGATGTGAGCTGTGAATAAAAGAAATAAATGTGCATGTGATAAACAAATATCGTGTTGTTGCAATTGTATACACGAAAAGTTTTGCCGGTTTAATATAACCAGCTTAGAGTTCAACAGTTACATGTTATTAATTGCGTTATTTTTTGGATTCGCTGATTTGATGGCATTGAATTGGGATTATAGTGGGATATTTGTGTGATAGAGGGAGCTTTTGGTTTGAGTCTTGGTTGATTCTTTCATTAGGGGATTTTGGTGTGAGTGGAAAGAGGGTTTGGTTTGGTAGAATTTGATATTTACAAAATGTCTTGAAGATTTAATGACATGAGGTTGACATGAGATGCGTTCTAGATAGAGCAGAATTATAAGAATTGTGTTTTCACAGTGAAATGTTTGGATGGATGGTTTTGTGGTTGAGGAACCATCGTTAGAACCGTATGCGACACCGAACCCGCATCCAGCGAGAGGCATTTATGGTCAGGGTTGGATTTTTTCGAGCAATTTCGGTTGATTTCTTTTCATTGAGTGTTTTTTAGATTTGATTGGTTACTATTGTTATTCAGACTTTTTTATTTGAGATCATTATGGATAGTTTAAGATGAGTTCGGTGGAGAACTAGTATTAGAATTAGGATATTGTGATTGGGTTAGGTGGAAACAAAGAACAATTAGGCTATTCAAAGAGTCTTCATTTTGTTTCAGTGTGAGCTTTTTAGATGATTTAAAGACATGTGGATTTAAGATGGTATTTGATATTTACAAAATAATTTAAAGATAGTATTTAACTCGTATTGAGTTAGGGGGAGTTATTCGATTCGAAGCAATTGGATTGCATCGAGATCAATTGCAGGTTTTGCTCTATTCGTGTGTTCATCAATCGCATTTGCCTTTTATTTAATTTGGGCCATTGTGCCGACCCCGTGGCTGAACGCTTTGCAAATCACATACGTACCAGCCAAGTATTGGGCAATCGCAATCCCCCTATTGTTCCCGTTCGGTGTTTTCGTTTACGTAACGACCATTTTCGCCATCAATCTGATCAATTTTCACGGAGTTTTCGATAGCGTTGAGGTGATTGCTTAGTTCTGTTCTTATTCAGCATTTCGCTGGGTTCTGCATTAGTTCAGATTTTCAGTTTTTTTTTTGCTTTTCTGCGAGCCAACTTGAACATACTCATTCTGTGTTAGTGGGAAGTTTAGTGGTAATGAGATTGACTGATTTACGCTGATTTCGTTTCGGTGGAATGTTGGATCGGTTTTAGTTAGATGATAAGAGTGACGATTTTCATATTGTAATTGTTTATTTGAGAAGAGTTTATTGGTTTGTTTGCTTGGAGGTAGTTGAAAACGATTTCGGTGAGTTNTGGGCAATCGCAATCCCCCTGTTGTTCCCGTTCGGTGTTTTCGTTTACGTAACGACCAT